TATTATTGCAACCCAGTTATTTACACTCATCTATGTCAATTGTTTTCACTCTATCTCAATGTAAAAATTCTATCACAATTTTGGTTTGTAAGCAGCTGACGAGAAACCTCGAAATAATATGAATTCATACTATTCTGCACCATTATTTGTTCTTGCTTTATTTAAATTCATAAAGGGAACCAATTGCATGAAACTAATAATATCGATTAGGCTGAGCCCATTCATAAAGTTGATTAAAATTAGCGTTCTGCTTGGATTAAATATGAACTAAGAATACGTTTACAAATTTAGAAAATGGTTTTTAAGACCGTCTTTTTGATGATAACAAACGTTTCACAAACATCAAAACAGAATTGGTGGTCTGGCGTCATTTTCGGAAATATTTGACTCCATTATATGAAATAAGTTGACTTCAATCGAAGACAAGCGGAATCTCATTCCAATTATGCTTGCTTGTTTGTATAAAGTCCCTTTAAAAGTGAGTAAGTTTGAGCTCAAACATGGTTCCATGGATTTCGTAATTTAAATTATCTCTAAAGGACGCCTTTCTAACTTGTGATCATTCTTTAGCAACTCATAAATAAGCCTTTGAAGGTCGTCAAGTGCAATAATATTGTTCAAATTCACAACACCATAACTTACCCTTGTTTCATTGTCTTCATTAGAGGATTCCGATATTTTGGATTTGAATTTACAGAAGTTTTACTGTAAGTTTTGTTGTTTTGGCTATAACATGCTGACCAGATATTTGGACGGTGTATTAGTAGCTCACTATAAACCTTAGTCAAGTAAAGTGTAATGGGGTTATATGGTGCATGACTTACGATTAACATAAGCATATGAAGACGCCGATGAATGGCTTAATTCCTTTAAAAGTTTACCTATCACTAATTTTGTTCTTAACCGTCTAAATATTTGGTGGGTCAATCTTATGATGCAGTCTCGTGGATAGGTATCTATAACCTTTTTCATCATATCCCATTTTAGTCATGACTGTTGTTGTATTACTTTTGTCAGCATTAACTATTCAAATTCTTACGTCTTGAAAGATACTATATGGAAAGAGTTTTGTTTTGTAAAAATGTGGGGTGTTTTCAACTTTATGTATGTAACTCTTTTTCCGACAGTTGTCCGACTAATAATTCTAGAATCTGAACAATTTCTACAGCGCTAAGTGACTTTCTATGCTAACTGAAATATAGTCCTTTCTCTAATAAGAGTGCTATCATGGGTATTTAGGTTTTTGACTTAGAGAATATCAGTAACTGTTACACAGTCAGAACATAAATTTATTGAAGTTATATTTCTGTTTTAAAATCGTCCAGTATGTTTTTGTCGGTCAGGATTTCGACGAATTCAAATAATGGTGTTCGCTTCCAATAAAAAGGCGAATATCAGTTTGCAATTTGATTGGAACTATAAAACTTATTAGCTCGCTGGAAAATTCCCATTATATTAAAACAAAAGCGAATGAACGAAGAATATTCTTTTCAATCATTTCTCATCAGGTTCTACAATTATAAATCCAAATTAATAATCCATAAAATTGGCCAAATTTAAGTCAGCGTACATCATTTGAAAATTGTAATATGTGAATCAGGAATTGTTGTTTGTTACAGATCATCCAAGTTATCGAATATTCAGTTGTATTGTTTTCAGTAAATAGTTTGTTTAATTTAATTTTTAACTCATTTGGATGTTACAAATAAATCATTCGTTTGATTATTAAGGATCTACCCAGTGTTTAGTATATTTGTAATTATCGAGTCAAACATCGTTTACTGCTTAGCAATAGGGTTTACTTGTGAATTTTATTTTGGGGATTGGCATGTTAAAGTTAGGGAGACAACACACATTCGAAGTATTAACTATCTCTCTTATTAAAGATCGCCTTATTTTACTTTATACACGATCAAGAAAATCCATACTCATTTCCGAATAAGTTTTTTATGCCTATTTAAACTGGAATACTGTTGTATCCCCATGAGAATAATAGGTGGTAACTGTCGGAATCTATTTCTGGACAAATGCTACTTTTATCGTATAATTGTTAAGTTACAAAAATATTCATATTCGTGTCCCTCTGATCATAAGCTTTATTTCGACAGATGAATTATCATACGATTTGGTATTTCTCACTTATACCCAGTTTATCAATTACTATCTCTCACATTCACAGACAAAACTGGCTAAATCTTGTACAAATGCTATTTTCTATTTTATGGTAAGGTGTGGTATTTTTGGTTTGTATATAAACCCAGTATATTTAAAATACATGATTCATATCTCAGAGGCTGAGATTAGTGTTCTGGACTTAACAGGCGGGGCTAGGCAGGAAGCAGGACCGATAAGTATCTAGATTGCTTATACAGGTTTTATGCTTCATTGGTCCAGTCGATAAATTACTGTCCTCCGATTGGCGGTATCATTACGCTATACATTGATAGGGGCACAATCCCACAAGTTATAACAAATACAGCCAGATTTTGCAATGTGAAGTCAATCGTTTTTGTTTACAGTTTTAATAATATTGAAAACTATAATGCAAATTGAATGTTTGGTGAAAGAACTCATTTTATCTATGGAACTTGAAGAGAACTACATCGTGTTAAGTATGGGGTATTTTTCTCGTCCCAGTAACTAAACGTACGCTTTGATTTGTTTAGTTAATTTATTTAAATGCAGCAGACGTATCTTAAAAATAGAGTTCTTTTGATTTCTCCGGCCCTCATGAACTCCATGATACCTAATTAAGTAATACCACATAAGATGTAGTATATTCTATGTCCAATATTTTAATATATATTCTTGACAGTTCATATTCACTGGTTTCTATAATTCCGGAAACATTCAACTCAACATCAAATATTTACAGCAACATTATTTCGTACTTATTTAGCCCCCAATATTTTCTATATTTTTGCTACCTGTTCCCGACCATAGTTCATTTCGTGAAACGTTTAAGGTGCAATTAAGCGATAAATATACTACTCGAAAACTCTACTGACTATTACTCTTCAAATGTTTGATATTGGAATATGCTGAGTACTTTTCAGGATCTTTAGTTAACTTAGATTTAAAAAAAAATTAAATGAATCCTTCTCTTCACAACGTGAACTTGTTGCAGTGCCTGACTGAACTTATTTGGCAAAAAGGGTATATCCTTAAGAATTAACAACTACATCACATTTCAAAAATATTTTGAAGTATTGGAAGTATACGTTGTAATATGAATATAGTGATTTCTACAGTTATTCACTGCGTACTCTGATAATCGCGGATGAATTAAAAACTCTCTTCAATCTAGTGTATTGTAATCAGGAATGCTTAGTTGTACATTAATAAAACAATTAAGAATTTACGCAAACACCATAATTTTCAAACTGACGTTTGCAGTTTCATTTAATATATTTTATGTTTGAGCTACTTGTGAGTAGATGAACTGCTTTAACTAAAAAACATTTGTAATTAACTCAAGTTGTTCAAGATTTTTTACCAGACCATTTTGGTGAAATATATAACTTCATGCACAACTCACAGTACAATATCTAGTTGTCATGTTGACAACCAGTTGTGTAGATATTGATAAAATTTATCTTGTCATGAAATTAGCTTATTTATAGTGTAAGATGAAATTTCGCAATATGTTTTCATATTTTTTATGAATTGTGAAACATTGGGAATATTTTGTTTCTGTCAACATTATCTTCCATCTGACTGATCAACTTTCAAGCGAATTCATTCTCTTAATTCCGAACTAAACAACTTTATGAACATGTTTTTACAATGACTAAGATTTATCGCCTCCAATTACCCTACATTTATGTCATTACTTACCACAGTATGATGGGTTTCTGTGAATGTGTTTGAATTACATGAATTCTTATTTTTTGAAATAATTGATACAAATTCTTCGGTTTGCAAAGAATATGTGAAGAATCCAACAAATAAATGAATCAAAAAGGCGCACTGCTTAAAGGTCGAACTCAAAGTTAACATAGTTGCAAACAATACAAGGATTTCAAACTGCGTCAAAAATCTCTCCTCGAATTCTATCTAGCCGTATCATTCTGTAGTCTGTTTGCGTTAAACGACAATCTAAAAAATGGTTTCTTTCTTCTGACTGCTTAAGTGTGTATTTATCGATGCACTTATTCCTGTTGAACTTGTTATAACACTTGTTAGATATGCATTTTATCCAATAGTACTTTAGAACACGGAGGAAAATAGGTTACTGACTGATTATTTTATGTAGTGTTCGTTGAAATCTTTACTTATGTACTGAAGTTAGTAAACTTCTAACGTGATCGGACTGGCATAAAACTGCATGAATATAGTAGTACTTGTGAACATGGTAACGTTAGATTGAGACTGTATGAAGTGAGTGTTTAGTATAAACGAAAATAATTAGTAAAACAGTACGTTGATTTATAGCATATAAAAATATTAAGCAAATTAGTTAAATTCATTAATGCAAATGTCCACAATTTTAATATTACTTAATTTACTCATTCAAGCTATGCTTTATTTTAGTGATTGTTATATAACATTTATGGATATAAAAATTTTTCAGTCAAACACCTTTCTCATCTTGTTAAATTTCAATTACTAAAGTTACGTTAATTTGTTTCTTTAGCCTTACATTGTTCTTTTATAAATTTTTTTAGAATAGTTATCCATATCAAATAAACGATGACAAATTTCGCAACATCTCTACCATAGGTTATCTAATCCATCATACTAAAGAAACTAATACTTGAATATTGTTCAGAGTTCATACAACTATGATACTTTTAATGAATCAAAAATATAAACAACGATCGAACCAAAATGGTGTTAGCAAACAGGTCTCTATGCTTTTTTACTTAAAACCTTCTATTACGATAAGAATTAAAGATATACATAGATATAAATATATTTCAATCGAATCACATGTAATTGTCTGTTATCAGTTTACAATAAGTGTTACTTGAACGCCCATTAAACGTAATATAGAAAATTCACCGATTCATCATTTCTACAAGGAAACAGAATCAAAAGAAAGTAATTAAAAAAATTATTTAAAGTTAACTTTTGTGACAGTTAATCCTGCAGATTTTTAACTTTAACCAATAGAAGCATGAACTCATAACATTTTTTAAATTACTTTGGCTACTTATTTTTATGTCAATAACACATATCTAAAATTCTTTAGTTGTATTCTAGCAGAAGATCAATTCTCAAGTATTATGGCAAATCTACTTTTTTAAAGTATGTATTCTCGAGAAAATAGAACTTTACGGACATGGTATTCTTAATTTTAACCACATATCAAGTTTGTACAAATACATAAGTTATTTCATAATCAATATGGAATATGGTAAGAAATAATTAATGGTAAAATCCAGTGGTCATTTGTCATCTGCATATGAATAAACCAGTTTTGATTTAAAATTGATATAATATAAGTAAAATTAGTTGTATTCTAGTTTGTAATAAAATTCCGATCCAGTTTCTTATGCAATTTTCCAAAAAATGTTTCTCAAGAAACTTTCATTTCCATACAAGGGTCTGCGAGCTAAATGATTATACATAAATTCACGTAATTAGCGAGCTTATGAAGTGATTTAACTTCCACAGAAGGTTTATAAGGACTTATTAAATTTATTATTGGCTTATTCAGAGACTTAATTCAACCAGACAGACCAGTGGGAACCAAAGAACATTAACAGATTTGTTTTAGAACTTTTAATTCTTTTTAATACTTTGTTAATAATAGTCGAAACGTTATAAAACCTCTCAGTATGTTATAGAACTATCGTATAATTTGGTAAGACGGCTTTTAGGGATTTGTTCATCTTGAAGAAAATTTCTATTACACGTTGGTTTCACTTAAAGAACTAATATAAATCATGAAGTGATGAAAATATATTTCATCTTAGGTTGGAACTTCAGAGTAATATCTACTCATTAGCTCATTCGATTTCACATTAATGAATCAGTACTAGAAGTAAGCACCCAGCTGTAAAATAACTGAATTAACATCAAAATAGTTCACAATCTCAGTATGCATACCTGAAGATTATGCAAGAAAATTATTTCGCACAATTAGTTACCTTTATTACCATGAATAAAGAAAGAACAAAAAATTGATCAGAATAACATTAATTCATTCTAATTCGTTCGGTTCTCATCAGCTTCTCACATCCTGTATCAAGTTTATAGAATGAAGTCTTTCAACATCAGTCGACAGTCAAATGCTGTTTTTATCAAAGTCACCGGAGCTATAACCGTTCAGGGACTAAATGTGTACTTATTTATCCAAAAGGACGCAGTTGCGAATCGATCCTTACAATGGTGATCTTATGAACATTATATCAGACCGCTTCTTGTAATTTTCTTCTCTCTTCTCTGATTAAATTGCATAACTAAAATAGAAGTCAAAACCCTATAATTTGTTTAATTTTTTGACTGGCAGATCTCAATTCATGTTATTTCTAGTTGCCATTAATTTACGCTCAGTTATTTCATCATATGTCAACATCATCCGTAATTTATACGACGGACAACACTGCATCGTCCTGCATCGAGGACAGCTGATGGATGCTTTACAATTAAGGACTACAGGCAGACAACGCTGCTTACTCTCCGCCTCCCTCTTTTTTCTGGTGGTCGAATGGATTATGAATACCTCCACATCTGACGGAAAGCACGGGATACAATGGATAGCTTGGATGCAACTACATGATTCGGACTTCGCAGATGATCTAGTTGTTCTATCTCATATACGTCAACAAATGCAGATGAAGAAACCAGTGTAGCGACAGCATCTGCATCAGTGGGTCTCAACACACACAAAGGAAAAACCAAGATCCCCAGATACAACACAGAGAACGCAAACCCAATCACACTTGATGCTGAAACTCTGGGAGAAGTGGAATCTTTCACGTATCTGGGTAGCGTCATCGATGAACCTGGAGGATGTGATGCAGACATATAGGGAAGCATTGGCAAAGCAAGGACATCATTCCTGCAGTTGAAGAACATGTGGAAGTCAAAGCAACTGTCAACCAATATCAAAGTGAGAATCTTCAATTCGAACGTCAAGACAGTTCTACTGTACGGAGCTGAAACTTCAAGAACTAATACAACCATCATCGTAAATGCACAAGTCTTTATAAATAGTTGTCTATGCAAGTTATTCAATATCCATGACCAGACACCATCAGCAACAGCCTACTGTTGGAGAGGACAAACCAGCTTCTAGCTGAAGAGGAAATTAGGGAAAGACGTTGGAAGTGGATAGGACATACATTGTGGAAATCCTCAAACTGCATCACGAGTCAAGCCCCAACTATGAGTCGTGAATGGAAACGGAAAAGTGGGATGTCGACGAACACACTGTATTTAGAATTGGAATCAGACATGAAAAGGATGAATAGCAACTTGAAAGGACTGAAGAAGAGGATTATCCATGGCAGAGTCGAGTGGAGAGTGCTGGTGGGATGTCTAAGCTTCTCCACGACGGGTAACCTGCATAAGCAAGTAACTTCGTTATCTAATCAGTTAATTATTTGTCACTAAGTCTGATGATTCAGTATCTTCGCTCGTACATTATATTTTTCACAACGCTCATTCTATGTCTCCACTATCACTAGTCTAACATGACGATAGTTTGATGTTATTCTGCTCAATTCTTTGTTCCTAATGTATTTAAATTTATTTCTTTTTAATACTCTACATTGATGAATTTTTCCAGTCGCAATATTTTATGATAACTTCAATGCATTCACAAACAATGAGCACACAAACTGCATATATGTATTTGTGGTACACATGAAAATGATCTCAAACGTGAACCAAACACCCGTTCGACTCTTTACGGTTGATGAATATTCTTCAATTGATATCGAACCTTGCATTGATAGTTTTATGCCTACCTATTGAATCAGTTATATATTAATCGAAATAAATCCAATTACAGATAAAATACTTGCAAGGAATTAACCTACCTTTTTGTAAACTATTTAGTAGATACTTTATATATTGTAATGGTTAATTTTTTTAAAAATTAAAATTATTCTTTGAACTAACTAGTAATTTTAAACTGAGGTCATAACTGTAAATATCAAGCTTGATCTGATTGTCTAATTTATGAAATTACTATCATATTTACCTGCAGAAGCATAAATTACACATTTTAATATGTCACTTTTATTCATTTCTATTAGTTATTTTCTGATTTATCATAAATGTCTTCATTAACTTAAAATAAACGAACAATGACTAATCTATTTCATCTATGAATATGGCAACATAATTGATCATATATATAGGTCACGTATTTTTGGTTTCCACCACGGTAGTTAACAATTTAATAGACCATTTGATTTTAAGGACATTCAACTATCGTTTCCTTTTTTTGTTCATTATAGTGGACTAAAGGGAATGAAATGTTTAAATCATAAAATGAAATCTCATAGATCGTCGTTGTTGTTGTTGCTACTTTTAACATAAAGAATATTGAATGTTCTGGAAATTTTCTATACATAAATTATGATTAGTAATTAGGTAGTTTCCTTTTACAAAGAAAAATAAATGGTCTATCACAATCACTTGTAACTTATAAACTTTTCAATTGATACTTTTTCGTAATATTTAAATATTTATTTCTCTCAGAATGATTATTTTTCAATTTGGAAGTTAGTGTATTATAATGGATTAAAATGGGCTGTAAAGTCTTTATAAATTATTTGTTAATTTAAAACATTGTTTCATAGTACACCTACTCCTTCGTCAGGAATTAAGTTTTATAAGTACAGTTTATGTGGCGAGCGTAGCACTTGATGAATGTTCAATCAATGGAAGTCAATTACATAGATAGTTAGACATTAACTGATAGCTCCCGGGTCCGAATCCCGCGGGCGGGATCGTTGATGTTCACTGCTAAGAAGTGCCACAGTAGGATGAAACGACCATCCAGTGCTTCCAGGTTTTCCATGGTAGTCTAGCTTCAAGTCACACACGAATTCAATAATTAAAATAAACTATGTTTAAGTATGACATTTAAGTAACAAGAGCTTACAAAATCCAGTTTCCTTGTTTGGGTTTTTTCGAAACAGGCTCTGATTAAAGTTAGCCTACAAATGATCTACGAAATGATACTTAAAAAACTCAATGAACATAACTTTAATGTTATCGCTAAATGTATGTTTAATGGTAAATTTTAAATGATTCAAAGTTACGCTTACCGTATAGTCTTTTACCAAAACGTTGTGGCACAAATCCTTTGTCAGATTGTCATAAAAAAAACATTAAGAAAAAAGAAAATGTAATCAGATTTTATTTCATAACTAAAATGTTGTGGAATATTTACTAACAGTTAAACATGTAAGCTTTGTAGTTTGTAAGAAACCTTCTTCATCGTCATCATCATTATCTGATGCTGTTGCTACTTCTACTACTGCTACTCTGATAGTCACTATGATAATTATATATATATATATATATATATATATATATATATATATATATATATATATATATATATATATATATATATATATATATATATATATATATATATATATATATATATATATATATGATGCATGATGTTGGTCCGATGAACAGTTATTTTTGATTCTACATTTCTAATGGCCATGAAAAAAATCTAGTATGAATAACTGCTAGACTATTCGGGTCTACGATTCTGTTATATAAAGTATATCAGCTCTTTAATATGTTGCAATCAATGATTATAGTTTTGAATATGCATTTCGATTATTCTGACTTGTTATATTTCCAAATAACGACAACTGATTTGAGTTCAAAAATCTTTATGAGTGCACAAGGTTTTTGTGCTGAAAATCGATCACTCAAAGCCTCTTTTTTGTTTGTTATTTTTTTATCGGTAAAAATCAAAAGGGTAGTGGTGCAGTTGACGTTGTTCATATGTGATGTAAGTCCAACAAACAATTCCCTAAAAATTCTCCTTCTGTGTTTTAGAGAATATTGTCAACAAAAGTGTCTATAAATTTTAATAAATTAATGTCTACAATACACATTCTGATTCGTTAAAAACCTGCAACTAAACATAACATACTATAAACACTTTTCTTAACAAGGACGATACGACTGTGGGCATAAAAAGTATTATTTTATTGATGTACATAACGATTTTATATTCATTAGATATTTTCGACATTTTGAACACCACAGAAATTTCGTAATTATTATCCAACAAACAAAAGTGGACTTATAAAAACAACAAATGTATATGAACATATTTTTATTCCATGCTGTCTTGAAATGCTTACTCAGTTCACATATCTTTATCTTTAAATACGCATTAACGGCAGAGAAAATAGGGAACTTTTAAGCAAGTGGCTTAAATTTATTGAACTGCATAAAAACTCAGTCATATAATGGGAACATTTGAAACAGTTAGTAAACAAAAGTAACTCGATTATAACTGTTGAAGTTATTACCACCAAAAGACTATACCATAATCTATATGTTCGAATAGAAACTGTTGATAACCAGTCAGTCCTATTTTCCAGTCATCTGATTCGAAATTCTTATACTCTTAATATGTGATTCTTGCTGTTCCATCTCTTCAAAATTTCGAATCATATCTTTTTAATTTATTTTAACCAATTGGCTGGTTTTCATAATCCAAATAATTCGTGTATCATTCCCTCTTTTATTTTCTAGGATGATTTTCTAATCTTTTGATACCGATCATTTCGTTGACAACACTTTATCACATCAATTATTTATTGTTACTAGGTTTATGCATCCAACTGTTCCATAACTTTCCTACATTCTTTAAAGCATTTTACAAAATACAGAAACTTATATAAAACGATATTGAAAGTTTATCTAAAACAATCAAATGTTATTAAATTTGTTTGGATTGATTAAAACCATGTAAATGAATGGGTTATCATTCACTAAGAACCTTGATCTAGATGTTTAGGAATTTAATGTTAACTTAAGAATCTCCATAATGATGAGGAGAGAAGTAACTGTTCTAGAACTGACAAGCTGATTAAAATGGTCCATTTTTTAAAAATGTGACTATCTTACTTCATTTTCACTGTTATAAAGCATTGATGATCGGCTTTTATTCTTAAACGCCGTAGATGAATGTTTTATCCAGGTTAGTCAGAGGACATACACTGTCACAATCCACTGAAAAGTACTGACTGCTTAATGTATATATATTCTCTGAATAGTAAAAAATTACTTTTGTATAGGTTAATATTAATTTGTGTTTAACCAATATGCACTAATTAGTTTTTAGAATTAGACTGATTTAACTGCAGCTATTTCTTTTGGTAACTGTTATTAGGTCATATTATCAACAGTTAGCAATAGTTTACTTCAGTAGATATTTTAGGAAAATATAATGAACCAGGTTGATAAAACAGTAGAGTAAAATAAAATATATTTCACGGGTTTTAATTTCTTGGTTGTCAACAAACCTTTAGTTAAAGCTGTAGATTCAGTTACTCCCTCAAATGTATGTATGATTTTTATGAATAAATACTGTAAATAAACCAGAAGTTGGAGATTAGCTATTCATGAAACAGCATGAAAAATCCATCAAGCGTAGCGCAACTAATAAGTTTATATATATATATGCTATCAACGAAAAGTAAATAATAATAATATGTTCGTCTACTCTGAAAAGAAACCCAAATAAACACATTCCATCTAATAGCTTTTTGGTTTTGTTTTTCCGAAAGTTCACGTTTATTACAATTCACATGTATATTGTTCTATTAAATGATAAACATTATCACCAAAAGTAGAGATCTCTTTGGTTTGAGTGTAAAAGTTTATAGAAAATAGTGTTGACTAAAACAAAGAATTAAAAAGTTAATGACTAGTAATTTGTCTCAAACCGATGGGAGATAATCACTTCTAATCCTTAGGTCAAGGTTTTTTCGCACTCTATAGTTATGCATGTGACTTATGATGAATCTTCAAAGGAATTAACTCTTTCTGTAGGATTCTAACCTTTGTGTTATTGTTTAACAGTCTGTGACGGTATCAAATTCGTGCTTGAGTTACGGTGAGACTGTGGTAGGAGCGAGATCAAGCTATGTTTAAACAATAAAAATTGTAGCCTTACTATGCGCGCATGTGCATGTACGATTTCGATCTCATACATGCATATGAATGCATAATATGGCTTCAGGCCTTATTGATGCTGAAGAACATTAGACAACTGAACGAACAGCATTACAACGGTTCAATACAGTTTTCCTAGAAGATACTAAGAAACTCAACCAATTCATGATAACTTTCAACAACAAGCTCCAAGCCTTGCAACATCTGTTCGAAGAAGAGAAAATTATTATGGAGGACAACTGGGAAAGGATAAAAAAGCGCTAACTTCATCGTGTCAGGAAGTGCTTGGACTTGAAAAGCGTCACCGTAAGGAATGGATCTGTATCGAAACTCTGGGCAGCACTCAGGAAAGAAAGAATAAAAAGACAGTAATTAATAACAACCGAACAAGAACAAAGAAATTCAAGGCACAATCTAAGTACACAAAAGCAAACAAGTGAGTGAAGAGCTTTTGAGCCAACATGTAGAAACACGTGGAAGACCTAGCAACGACAGAAGAAAAAGATGCAGCAGAAGGAAATATAAAACAGCTATATGACACGATGAAGTAGTGGCAGGGAAATATAGTAAACCCAAGAGACTAGTCAAGTAAAAAGAAGGCAAGGCAATCATTGACATTCAAGGATAGAGTAACAGATGGGTAGAATACTTCGAGGAACTCTCGAATAGGTCAGCTCAGTTGAATCCACCGAGCATCGAAGCAGCACATACAGACCTTTCTATAGATTTCACTCCATCAACCACGGAAGAAATCGGGATGGCCTTTAGATAAGTCGAGTGATAATACATCAGGACATGACAACGTACAACCTGAAGCACTGAAGTCAGACACAGAAGTAACTGCAAACATGCTCCACGCTTTATTCAGGAAGACTAAAGAGAAAGAACAAGTGCCAGTGGACTGGAAAGAAGGATACTTCATCAAGATACCAAATAAAAGAAGTCGGAGCGAATGGGCGAACTAAAGAGGAATCACACTATTGTCAGTACCATAGAAGTTTTCAACTGTGTTGCCGAACCGGAAGGATGATTCAGTAGACTTCCAGCTTCGTGATCGACAGACCAGATTTTGTAAGTATAGGTCGTGGACAAACCAAATCAAAACATTACTGGTTATCGCTGAGCAAATAATTGAACGAAACACTTCATTGCTCATAAAATCTCTTGACTATGATAAAGCACTTGATAGTGTGGATATGAGAGCTTTATGGAAATTTCTTAGACAGTATGATGTATGTAAGAGGATCTTCACTATCACATGGAATTCGTAAGACGGACTGCATTGTCCTGCATCGAGGACAGCTGATGGATGATTTACAATTAAGGACTACAGGCAGACAACGCTGCTTACTCTCCGCCTCCCTCTTTTTTCTGGTGGTCGAATGGATTATGAAAACCTCCACATCTGACGGAAAGCACTGGATACAATGGATAGCTTGGATGCAACTACATGATTCGGACTTCGCAGATGATCTAGTTGTTCTATCTCATATACGTCAACAAATGCAGATGAAGAAACCAGTGTAGCGACAGCATCTGCATCAGTGGGTCTCAACACACACAAAGGAAAAACCAAGATCCCCAGATACAACACAGAGAACGCAAACCCAATCACACTTGATGCTGAAACTCTGGGAGAAGTGGAATCTTTCACGTATCTGGGTAGCGTCATCGATGAACCTGGAGGATGTGATGCAGACATATAGGGAAGCATTGGCAAAGCAAGGACATCATTCCTGCAGTTGAAGAACATGTGGAAGTCAAAGCAACTGTCAACCAATATCAAAGTGAGAATCTTCAATTCGAACGTCAAGACAGTTCTACTGTACGGAGCTGAAACTTCAAGAACTAATACAACCATCATCGTAAATGCACAAGTCTTTATAAATAGTTGTCTATGCAAGTTATTCAATATCCATGACCAGACACCATCAGCAACAGCCTACCGTTGGAGAGGACAAACCAGCTTCTAGCTGAAGAGGAAATTAGGGGAAGACGTTGGAAGTGGATAGGACATACATTGTGGAAATCCTCAAACTGCATCACGAGTCAAGCCCCAACTATGAGTCGTGAATGGAAACGGAAAAGTGGGATGTCGACGAACACACTGTATTTAGAATTGGAATCAGACATGAAAAGGATGAATAGCAACTTGAAAGGACTGAAGAAGAGGATTGTCCATGGCAGAGTTGAGCGGAGAGTGCTGGTGGGATGTCTAAGCTTCTCCACGACGGGTAACATTGGTATGTATGTAAGTTATGTACATGTACGCAGTTACCGCTAAGGTGAACACAAACTTGACATTAAGTACTCAATAATAATCAATCGGTACTGAAAAGTGTTTGAGAACTGTTTCTGGTATCGCCAGAACTATCTTACTGAAACCGATTAGGAATTATTGGCCAACTCACATTATCTGACATAAAATGATCAAAAAATATGTCGGTGAAGTTAGGTTTTTATATTGATTTCAGTACCAGTCTTTCGTAATTGAGCATGATATTCATTTCTTTGTTAAGGGAATTCTGACATTTTCAGATTTAAACTTCGAATTACTATGGAGTGTTTGAAAGGACACTTTTAAAACTGATTGAACAAAAATTAGGAACAGTGTAATCATAGATTTGACTGGTAAGATTTTAGTATCTTGATGACTTCATAGTGACTATGTTTAGTCATTCAAAGATTTTCACAATCTATTCGTTTACTAATTAGATTTAAATATTTATTTAAAAAATACTGAAAATATATCAGTTTACTTTAATAAAGATAACCATTTAATAAATATATAAATTATTGTAAATAAAAAAATAAAACAGTTTTAATATTAAGTTTGATGTACAAATAGAAGCTATATGGAAATGTCACAAGATTTAGAATAATTGAGGTCTACGACTTTAAATTCAAACAATGGTCATTGATGAAAACACCCTATTCGGTCGGTTTAATAAACAGTAAATAAGGTAGTAGCATAATATTAGATTGTTGAGTTCATAATATTGTCTGAGATATTTAATTTCAGTGAGTAGCACTGATCTGAGTTCTTTGAAGTTGAATGACATTAGCATACAGTTGAACCGATGATGAATCTTCGAAAAGTGTGCAACCGGCAAATGATTCTTACAATGTGAAATAGTGTAGAAATTCACTTATGTGAATTAAACTTCACCCCATTGCACAAGCAAATGGCTATCAGGACTCAGTAGCTAAGTGGATAACACGATGGCGTTTGAAGTAAACGGTACTGGGTTCGAGTCCCAGAGTGAACATCAACTCTGAGATGCTGGTACATCCAGCTGACGAGTCCCAAACGGGATGAAACGCGCGTCCTGGATTCCACTGCTAGTCACTGTCCATCTTTGCTTATAATGCTCGTAAATTAAGGCAATATCGAGGCATACACACAGTATGCACATATGCCAATAAGAGACTGATCAATTTCAGTCCTTAAACATCAATGAGAAGATTCAAGTAAAACCATACTAACGGAACTATGCAATAGGTTCATAAAAACAAGCTTATCAACCATCACTTTCACATGTTAACTCTAATTATTTCACTTAAAATGTGAGATTAAGGTATTTTGTTATTAAATTCATCTGTTTGAATACATATGTTATGGTTCTTTCGAAAAATACTTCTTTACCTTAAACGTTAATTGAATACTTACTTGTGTATCTTTTTCCAAATCGTTGAGGCATAAAATGACGTCTTATTCTATAGCGATCATATAGTTCTGAATCTTTTAGTTTAGATTTGACAAGTTCTTCAGACAAATCCTCACCATAATATCCTGGTATGTTAGGATAGTTTTTTAAGTCGAATTGTGCCGAACAGTGACTAATCCAAGCTATCAGTATGATAGTAATCTTTAACGCATTCCCAAGCATTCTAAAAAAATCTAAAATAGAAAAAGATAAGCGAATTTTAATGACTTTATAATGTTTTATGGTATGAAAATTGGATGCAATTGAGTAGGTCAAACGGTCTACAAACTGATTGCGATGAAGCAGGAAACTTGATCACCCGGCACATAAATGTCGGGCATAGAAGGTTTGGAATTATTGTAATGCATTTTCATGACATAAAAGTATTTGGTAATTTTATCAAGAGAACTCAGTATTTTTTCAAATAAATAGTAATTACTAGCTGAATTGCTGTGCCTCTCTGTTAAAATGAAGGTCAAACTTAGTCAAGATAGATGTTTGTATACACAGAAGTGAACAGGTTCTCTGGAAATGTAAATGATATTGATGACAGTTAAGACACTCGATCCTGTTACTATTTTATTCAGAACAACATATACTCAAATGTTATAATTCAACAACAAATTTTCACCCCACAGTTTAAATCATTAATTATTCTGACATACTATGAATAGATTGTTTCCCAGGTAGGAACTATTATTATGAGATTCTAGTTCACAATGTTGATTGACTTTTACTGATCAAGTTGTAATTTTGACATTTGCTTAATTGAGTTCGTTACTCCGCTCACTGGATTACTAATCAACTTTGTCCTGAGCTCTACTCTCCAGTTGCCACCAAATGGTATTCATGGTCTACATGTCTGTCTCCAATTACGGGCGCTAAATGTTCATCGTTCTATCTCTTTTCTTTTGCATTGAGGATTAGAAGTTAGGGTTCATCTTGTGAGCTGTCATTTCCACCTCCACTGTCTAATCCTAATTTCCTCCTCAGCTAACAGCTGATTTGTTGTCTTCCAGAGCAATTTATTACTGGTGGTCTCTGGCCAATAGGTCTCAAGTATTGTAGTATACGCTACTCATGTTGGCAGATATAAGTAGTATGTGGCAGTAATCGGAAGTGAATTGCCTGTCAGCAGAAGATTAAGTTGAATGGAACGGGAAGATGAACAGTGATCAATTGTAATAACAACAGAATTGGAAGGATCATTAAGCATATAAAGAACAACTGAAAGATGTGCACATAACGTATTTAATGTATGGTTTTCATATTTTACGAATACCCTGTGTACGTTTGAATGAAATAAAAAGTCGGTTCTCCCCATCTGAGTTTTTGTTCACTATGATGTCTCTCACAGTTAGAAATTCATAAATACCAGTATACTTTTGATGGTGGTGGAAGCCCATCAAGTTTCATCCCCACAAAATAGTACTATTTTGACGTTGGTGATGAGAATTCTGTGGTTATGGGGAACAATTGTTTTGAGTTTTAGATTGATCTAAATTGGAGGAATGTCGTTGTTTCTCCGTTGATCGGTCTAGTGATATTTTCATTATATTCTGCTTGTTTATGAGTGACTCTGTCCAGGCGTGTAATTGCTCCCACTTATCTCAGAGCTTCCTGATCAAATATGGTTTGGTTGGTGCTCATACTGTTGAGCATAACGATCTCATTCTTCTGCTGTAAAAGTTGAGCCGAAATTCTGTGGTGACTTTTTAAAACATATTTTTTGCTGTGTAACTTGTGAAGGAGCCAAGCCATTTGCGAAATTTGAAACATCCATATTTCCTCTGGAATGGTGTAATCGTAATCCAGTCAACAGCTGGCCAAAAATGAGAAGGCGAAGGCAGTCACTCATGTCTGAAACCAGTGATCACTTGGAAAGTATCGGTAAGCTGCTCCCCATGCACAACCTTGTAATTCAGTCCCTCACGAAAGTTCCGTATGTTGGCGGCAGTCTTTTCAGTTATTCCATGGTGTTAATAGCGATTCTACAAGATTTCTTCTATCCATGCTTTATCCTAACCAAGGAAATTTGTGTTTAATGACGGCTTTCATTCACTTGAATATTCAATAATAATCCATATTATCACCATTTGATTCAGTGTATGATCGTCCTTTACGAAAGCTGACATTTTGATCTCGAAGTTGGACGTCTACTGAAACTTTCATTCAGTTCACTAACTGTCTATTAAAATTGTAACTGGTGCTAACAGTTATGTGATCCTTCTGTGGTTTTTAAACTCATCAAAACCTCTTTTCTTTGGTATTCTGTGAGATATCTCTTCTTCCAGTTTGTTGGCGATCATTCTTTCTCCAAAATTTTTCAGGAGAAGGTGAGACATCTTTTCATTTGCCCATATATCTGACTTCAGTGTTTCAACTGGTGTGCTATCTGTTCCTGCCGTCTCGTCATTCTTGATTCGTCTGAAGGCCCTATCAAGTTCATTTTTTGTTGGTGGGTTAACATCTAAAAAGAAGTCTATGCGCACTGCTTTAGTGAGACTCCTTTATTCAAGAGCTCTACCCGGTCCTCTCCCCCCTGTTCTGAGGTTGATGATCCTTACCGATCAATTTTCCTTCATTGTTCCTGACTGGTTATTCTGGTCTACTGTATTTCTCTGCCAACTTAGTAGTATCATACAGTTCTTCTACACATCCTTCCATTGCAGCTTATTCTGCTATAACTGTCCAGCCTTTCGCATATTTTCACTTTTCAGTCCCAAAGTTCTTATTTACTTGCTTGTTTTTGTTTGAAGACTCCTTGCCTTTTAAAATAAAACCTTATTGATCTCTTCGGGTCGGCCATTTTGTAGATAGATTCATTTTTACGAAATACAAATACCAAACATACAGTTCAACAGTCCTCTTTTACTCAGACATAGGACTGGTATAGGCCCTACTGGTTCTCCAGATGGAGTTAATTTAGGTACTACTTTAAATGATTTGATATCAGGTGCAGCGAATTTTTTGTTTCAGTAGGCTAGAGACAATTTTTCATTTAATCTTATCATTTCAACTCATCTGGTTTTTTAACAAATATTAGGTTAAATATTACTGAAACTCTTTGAAATTCTTATTTATGAGAGAAACAGTGATACAATATCAAAAACACATATCCATTAGCTAGATATCATATCGGACTTGATGCCTTATTGCTGATTCATAAAAATTACTATATCGATCGCGATAGCTAAAATACTATTTTTATTAGGGATTTTGTTTATTTTTATGTAATAAAGTATTCATAATCTTGTACTAATACAAATAACTTATTTAAACAAAACTTGTATACCTTATTATGCAAGATAATTATTCATATTAAAAAGCTGTTGATGTTCTTTCAAGTTGTCTGTGATTATCAAAATTGAAACATACACTATAAGCTCTGCCTTCATCAAGCTGATAATATGATCGTAATCACCATTATTTACTGTTATATGAAGCATGGATGTTCAAAAATTCATTACCCTAATGTATTTAATTCTCCAAAAGTGATTGAATTAATAAATGCATCTTGGGTAGTTACAAGCATTCTTTTCTTTTCATTTGTGAAATAATAGCACATTTGTATAATATAGTGCCCACCGTAAACGTTTTTGAAATATCCTTGAGAATTCTACCAAATTTATCACATGGTCTGCACATTTGTATGTTGTATACTGTCGCGGCTATCGGTATACCTCATCATAAACATAATGTAATTAGCCTTATTTTGCAGTCTCAGTACTTTTTCGGACAATTGACAGTTGTTAAGTAAACTAAACTATATATATATATATATATATATATATATATATATATATATATATATATATATATATATATATATATATATATATATATATATATATATATATATATATATATATATATATATATATATATATATATATATATATATATATATATATATATTGTAGAGATATCATCCCACTATCTTTACAAGTATAAAATGAATTTCAAGGCAGTGATAATAAAAATGTTACTGCTCTCCCTGTTTCTCCCTCTTATAGCCAATCCATACAAAGACCCGCCAATGAAGAGATTGTGGAGATGCTGGTTGGGACCTTTTGCACTCCCTCGTAAAATTCTCAGACTGAGATATCTTCTCAAATAATGGCTTTGTGGATGCCATTGACATATTCTATATGATCGCTAACCCGTATAGATTCCTGCACACCCCTTAAAACGTACAAGTTTAGTAAACCTAGTAGATTATACCAGCTATATATCGTAATAAATGAAGCCCGAAGAAACGTTATTTTAAGTCAAGCAGTTTCACGGAAGTTACATAAACAACTATAATAATTTTTAACCGAGTTAAGAAAATGTGTAGGTTAAAAGCCATCATTGAGCTGTTAGCACTTAATACTAGTTCAGATATACAAAACTCAATTCTCCTTTTCGATAAACGCGTGAAAACAAATCAAAATGTTGATATGCTATGCATCCTGCATAATGGCACTTTTATATACGACTCTAAAACCATAGCAGACCTTTTCAGTGGTTTTTTGGCGAACAATAATGAATTTTAAAACGATACTGTTTCAAAGTCATGTATGTAACTAGAAAGTCAATCAAATCTATTTCTTTCACATACCTAAGAATTATTAAATCTACAAACTCCCTTAAAGTTTCAAGCGGTCATGAAGTAGACGAAATTTCATTTTTCTCTACAGACACGATGGACCAGATATTCTACTACTTCTTTTAAAGCCGTTTACTTTTTCTCTCTAGAGACAGGTATTTACCCATACTGTTGGAAAACCACGTTAAAAATTTGAGATGAAACTGACATGAACAATTAACGTTTAATAAATATTACTTCAGTTATTTGTAAGGTTATGGATAAATCTTTAGTGACGAACTCTCTAACTGTTTGCTCACTGAAAAGCTTATCAATGATTCTCAACATGGCTTTCTTAAAAAGCAACCTTGTATGACATCCCAATTTGACTTCTTCGATTTCATCTTTACTCAACATAACCGAGCATAACTAGTCTTGGTCATTTACTCTGACATTTCTAAAGCTTCCGACATGATTAACCACTAGCTTCTTATGGACAAACTTGCATCTTGCTTGGTTTAACGCTTTCTTTGCCACCGATACCAGACGATCAAATTAAATCCTTGTCGGATGCTTTCCCGGTTGAAAGTGGTGTAATAAAAGGTAGTTTCTCGGATCGTTTGC